TGTTGGTGTGTTGGTGGCGGTGTGTTGGTGTGTTGGTGTTGGTGGCGGTGTGTTGGTGTTGGTGTGTTTGTGTTGGTGTTGGTGTGTTGGTGTTGGTGTGTTGGTGTTGGTGTGTTGGTGTTGGTGTGTTGGTGTGTTGGTGGCGGTGTGTTGGTGTTGGTGTGTGGGTGTTGGTGTGTTGGTGTGTGGGTGTTGGTGTGTTGGTGTTGGTGTGTTGGTGTTGGTGTGTTGGTGTTGGTGGCGGTGTGTTGGTGTTGGTGTGTTGGTGTTGGTGTGTTGGTGTTGGTGTGTTGGTGGCGGTGTGTTGGTGTGTTGGTGTTGGTGTGTTGGTGTTGGTGGCGGTGTGTTGGTGTTGGAGTGTGGGTGTTGGTGTGTTGGTGTGTGGGTGTTGGTGTGTTGGTGTTGGTGTGTTGGTGTTGGTGTGTTGGTGTGTGGGTGTTGGTGTGTTGGTGTTAGTGTGTTGGTGTGTTGGTGGCGGTGTGTTGGTGTGGGTGTGTTGGTGTTGGTGGCGGTGTGTTGGTGTTGGTGTGTTGGTGTTGGTGGCGGTGTGTTGGTGTTGGTGGCGGTGTGTTGGTTGGCGGTGTGTTGGTGGCGGTGTGTTGGTGGCGGTGTGTTGGTGTGTGGGTGTTGGTGTGTTGGTGTTGGTGTGTTGGTGTGTGGGTGTTGGTGTGTTGGTGTTGGTGTGTTGGTGTTGGTGTGTTGGTGTGTGGGTGTTGGTGTTGGTGGCGGTGTGTTGGTGTTGGTGTTGGTGTGTTGGTGTTGGTGTGTTGGTGGCGGTGTGTTGGTGTGTTGGTGTTGGTGTTGGTGGCGGTGTGTTGGTGTGTTGGTGTTGGTGGCGGTGTGTTGGTGTTGGTGTGTTGGTGTTGGTGTGTTGGTGTTGGTGTGTTGGTGGCGGTGTGTTGGTGTGTTGGTGGCGGTGTGTTGGTGTGTTGGTGGCAGTGTGTTGGTGTGTTGGTGTTGGTGTTGGTGGCGGTGTGTTGGTGTTGGTGGTGTTGGTGTGTTGGTGTTGGTGTTGGTGGCGGTGTGTTGGTGGCGGTGTGTTGGTGTTGGTGGCGGTGTGTTGGTGTTGGTGGTGGTGTGTTGGTGTTGGTGGCGGTGTGTTGGTGGCGGTGTGTTGGTGTTGGTGGTGGTGTGTTGTTGTTGGTGTGTTGGTGTTGGTGGCGGTGTGTTGGTGGCGGTGTGTTGGTGTTGGTGGCGGTGTGTTGGTGGCGGTGTGTTGGTGTTGGTGGCGGTGTGTTGGTGTTGGTGTTGGTGGCAGTGTGTTGGTGGCGGTGTGTTGGTGTGTTGGTGGCGGTGTGTTGGTGGCGGTGTGTTGGTGTTGGTGGAGGTGTGTTGGTGTTGGTGGCAGTGTGTTGGTGACGGTGTGTTTGTGTTGGTGGTGGTGTGTTGGTGTGTTGGTGGCGGTGTGTTGGTGTTGGTGTGTTGGTGTTGGTGGCGGTGTGTTGGTGTTGGTGGCAGTGTGTTGGTGGCGGTGTGTTGGTGACGGTGTGTTGGTGTTCGTGGCGGTGTGTTGGTGTTGGTGGCAGTGTGTTGGTGTTCGTGGCGGTGTGTTGGTGTTGGTGGCAGTGTGTTGGTGGCGGTGTGTTGGTGGCGGTGTGTTGGTGTTGGTGGCGGTGTGTTGGTGGTGGTGTGTTGGTGTTAATGGCGGTGTGTTGGTGTTGGTGTGTTGGTGTTGGTGGTGGTGTGTTGGTGTTGGTGGTGGTGTGTTGGTGGCGGTGTGTTGGTGTTGGTGTGTTGGTGTTGGTGGCGGTGTGTTGGTGTTGGTGTGTTGGTGGCGGTGTGTTGGTGGTGGTGTGTTGGTGTTGGTGGCGGTGTGTTGGTGTTGGTGTGTTGTTGTTGGTGGCGGTGTGTTGGTGTTGGTGTTGGTGTGTTGGTGGTGGTGTGTTGGTGTGTTGGTGGCGGTGTGTTGGTGTGTTGGTGGCGGTGTGTTGGTGTGTTGGTGGCGGTGTGTTGGTGTTGGTGTGTTGGTGTTGGTGGCGGTGTTGCATGGTAACACTGCAATGAGCGGTGCCATGGGGGGAGGGCCAATTGAGATTGGCCATTCTCTTCACGGTGTGGGTAGCCACCACAGCGGCCAAAGGGGGATCTGGACGACAACATATTAAACTAAGCTCGTGCCGGAGGCCCCGGGGGACAGGCGTCTGTGACGTCTCCTGGCCAAACCCCAATTGGCGGAGCCAGGAGACTGAATCTTTACCCTCGGGGCTCCTCCAGAAATCAGCAAAATCCACTGCGGGTGGCCACGTGGAATGTTCTAAAGCTCACTACGGAGGAGAGGCTGCCACTCCTCTGTCGGGAGCTGGACCGGTACCGCCTGGATCTCTGTGGCATTCAGGAGGTCCGGTGGACCGGTTCTGGCTCCTGCCACCATGATGGGTGGACAGTCCTCTACACGGGGCAGCAGACTGCCAAACAACAGGGTGTGGCTCTTCTTCTGAACAAAATGATGAATGGGGGCGTGGGAGCGTGGCGGTGAGGTGTGGGAAGCTGTAAGCCCCAGGCTACTTTGGGCTCGCCTTCCCATCAACCGGAGGCGAGGAGTGGTGGTCGTGGTTGCTTATGCCCCCACCGAAGACGAACATCCGTGGAGGGATGCAGGCAAAGCCGATGAGTCAGATGCCTTCTATGACCTCCTGTCACAGGTGCTGGCTAAAGTGTCCCCTCGGGATAGAGTCATCTTGTAGGGTGACTTCAATGCCCGAGTTGGTCATGATGCTGGCACCTGGTCTGGAGTGATTGAAAGGCATGGGCCAGATCAGCTCAATAACAACGGTAGGGGGCTGCCACGCTGAGGAGAGGCTTGCGGAGCCCCAATGCGGTTTCAGGAAAGGGCGGTCCTGCACAGATGCCATGTTTTCTGTCCGTCTGCTACAGCAGAGGTGTAGGGAATTCCAGCAAGACCTACATCTCCGCTTTATTGACCTGGTCAAGGCCTATGATACCATCAGTAGGCCTGGGCTCTGGGTTGTTCTTCGTGCTTTTGGAGTACCTGACCCTCTGCTCACGATCATTAAGGACCTTCATGATGGTGAGCAGGCCCGGGTAAAACTACGTGGCCGGGAGTCAGAGCCATTCCCTGTACACCTTGGGGTGCGACAGGGATGTCCTCTGGCTCCCACATTATTTAACATCTATTTCGACCACGTGGTTCGTGAAGACTTCAATAGCTGTACCGGGGGAATCTCCATATGGTACAGATATAATGGGAGGCTGATCGATGCCCGGGTGCGGTCAAGCGATGGCTCCCTATTGGTCAACCACGTTATGTATGCTGATGATTTGGTAATAGCTGCTCAGTCAGAGGAGGAGTTGGAGACGCTGCTGCTGAGACTGGAGCGTGCCACTAAGAGGTGGGGCCTTACCATCAGCCCCACCAAAACTAAGCACCTGCCTGGGTATTTTGTACCATCGGACACTCCACCCCCACAACTCCCAATCGGTGATGGGGCAGTTGTGGAGAGAGTGGAGAGTTTCCCATACCTGGGCAGTGTGCTTATGACTGGCTCCAGTTTAACAGCAGAGGTCTCACTCCGAATCAGTCGAGCGGCAATATCTTTTCATCGGTTGCGTAACGCTGTGTGGAAGCTACCTGGTCAATCGCTCCGCACTAAGCTTCAGGTCTTCTCGGCCACGGTCATTCCCTCCCTTCTCTACGCTTGCGAAACGTGGACCCCCCTATTGGAACATCTTCGCCGGTTAGAAACATTTAGGCTGGACTGCCTACGATCCATCCTGGGTTTAACCAGACTGGATTGTGTGAGGAGCTCACAAATCCTTGAAAGATCTCGGCAGGGTCCCATCGGTGAGCTCCTCCGGCGGGCAAGGCTGCGATGGCTGAGTCATGTAGCCCGCATGCCCAGCCAACGCATGCCAAAACAGCTTTTGTTTGGCCGGATTGAGGGGGCTAAGCGGGCGCGGCACGGGCTAGAGAAGAAATGGAGTGATGTGGTACAGGAGGACGTGGAGCTGAGTGGACTTGCCGATGACTGGTACCAGCGGTGTCAAGATCGGCCTCTGTGGAGGAGGCTCGTGAAGGACGCTACTGGGCAGTTGGAGGCAGTCGCCCTCCAACAACAACGGAGGGTGGAGGAGCGACGCTCAGAACAACGAGCGGAGCGCCGGGTGGCTAAAGCACAGCAGGTTGGCACAGTAGGGGGCACAGGTGGTGCATCAGCCAGTCATCTCAGTCAGTCGACCCGTGGCACCTGGGTTTGCCCTGTGACCTCCTGCCAGCGGGCGTTCGACACTTCACGTGGCCTCAGGGTGCACATAGCCTGGCACAAGCGTCGTGGTGACGTCACCGCCACTTAGTGGCGAATGGCGGTTGTTGTGTGTATCACTGTGTGTATGTGTCACTGTGTGTGTGCCACTGTGTGTGTCACTGTGTGTATGTGTGTCACACTGTGTATGTGTAACTGTGTGTAACTGTGTGTTTGTCACTGTGTCACCACTGTGTGTGTGACACTGTGTGTGAGGTCACCGCCACTTAGTGGCGAATGGCGGTTCTTGTTGTTGTTGTGTATCTGTGTGTATGTGTCTGTGTGTGTGTATGTGGGGAGCGGTAGTGTAGCGGTTAGCGCGCTGCGCTATGAACCTGGCGACCCGGGTTCGATTCCCGCTCACGGCCAACACCAGTGACGATTATCTGAACCGGTCCCGGGCCTCCCCTAGGTCGACTCAGCCTCAAATGAGTACATGGTGCGGTGTGTAAACATTGCCACTAGGGAGACAAAGGCGGTCGGGCGTGGTGCTGGCCACCCACCCCCTCGTGTACCGTTCCGGCCTTCATAGGTGCTCGCTAACAGCACTTGCCCCTACAGTCTGTTAAGGCTATATGGGGGATCTTTGTCTTTGTTGTCACCACTGTGTCATACCGAGTGGAGGATACTTGGCGAAGCTCTCCACACACATGGTGTGTGACACTGTGTGTGACACTGTGTGTGTCACTGTGTGTGTGTCACTGTGTGTGTGTCACTGTGTGTGTCACCACTGAGTCTTACCGAGTGGTGGGTACTTGGCGAAGCTCTCCACACACATGGGCTTGCCGGGCACCATGATGACGATGGCGGCGTCCCCGCTCTTGAGGCTCTTGGGGTTCTCCTCCAACTTCTTGCCCGAGCGGCGATCGATCTTCTCACGCAGCTCGGCGAACTTGCAGGCGATGTGAGCTGTGTGGCAGTCCACCACCGGGGCGTAGCCCGCAGAGATCTGGCCCGGGTGGTTCAAGATGATCACCTGGGGAGAGGAGGGGGAGGGTGGGTGAGTGGGTGGGTGAGTGAGTGGGTGAGTGGGTGAGTGGGTGTGTGGGTGGGTGGGTGAGTGGGTGGGTGAGTGAGTGGATGAGTGGGTGAGTATGTGAGTGAGTGTGTGGGTGGGTGAGTTTGTGGGTGAGTGTGTGGGTGTGTGAGTGATTGAGTGTGTGAGTGTGTGGGTGAGTGGGTGAGTGTGTGGGTATGTGGGTGAGTGAGTGAGTGTGTGGGTGGGTGGGTGAGTGGGTGAGTGAGTGAGTGGGTGAGTGTGTGGGTGAGTGTGTGGGTGAGTGAGTGTGTGAGTGAGTGTGTGGGTGTGTGTGTGAGTGTGTGGGTGTGTGTGTGGGTGTGTGGGTGAGTGAGTGTGTGAGTGAGTGTGTGAGTGTGTGGGTGAGTGAGTGAGTGAGTTTGTGAGTGTGTGTGTGGGTGTGTGGGTGAGTGTGTAAGTGAGTGAGTGTGTAAGTGTGTAAGTGAGTGTGTAAGTGAGTGTGTAAGTGAGTGTGTAAGTGAGTGTGTAAGTGAATGAGTGTGTAAGTGAGTGTGTAAGTGTGTGTAAGTGTGTGTAAGTGTGTGTAAGTGTGTAAGTAAGTGTGTAAGTGTGTAAGTGAGTGTGTAATTGTGTAAGTGAGTGTGTAAGTGAGTTTGTAAGTGTGTAAGTGAGTGTGTGAGTGTGTAAGTGTGTGTGTGTAAGTGAGTGTGTAAGTACGTGTGTAAGTGAGTGTGTAAGTAAGTGTGTAAGTAAGTGTGAGTGTGGAAGTGTGTAAGTGAGTGTGTAAGTGAGTGTGTAAGTAAGTGTGTAAGTGAGTGTGTAAGTAAGTGTGTAAGTGTGTAAGTAAGTGTGTAAGTGAGTGTGTTTAATTTGTAAGTAAATGTGTAAGTGTGTAAGTGAGTGTGTAAGTGAGTGTGTGAGTGTGTGAGTGTAAGTGAGTGTGTAAGAGTGTAAGTGTGTATATATAAGTGTGTAAGTGTGTAAGTAAGTGTGTAAGTGTGTAAGTGAGTGTGTAAGTGAGTGTGTAAGTGTGTAAGTGAGTGTGTAAGTGTGTGTGTAAGTGTGTAAGTGAGTGTGTAAGTGTGTAAGTGAGTGTGTAAGTTTGTAAGTAAGTGTGTAAGTGAGTGTGTAAGTGTGTAAGTGTGTGAGTGTGCAAGTGTGTAAGTGAGTGTGTAAGTGTGTAAGTGAGTGTGTAAGTGTGTAAGTAAGTGTGCAAGTGAGTGTGTAAGTGTGTAAGTGTATAAGTGTATAAGTAAGTGTGTAAGTAAGTGTGTAAGTGAGTGAGTGTGCAAGTGAGTGTGTAAGTGTGTAAGTAATAGTGTAAGTGAGTGTGTAAGTGTAAAAGTGTGTAAGTGTAAAAGTGTGTAAGTGTATAAGTAAGTGTGTAAGTAAGTGTGTAAGTAAGTGTGTAAGTGAGTGTGTAAGTGAGTGTGTGTGTAAGTGAGTGTATAAGTGTGTAAGTGTATAAGTGTGTAAGTGTATAAGTAAGTGTGTAAGTAAGTAAGTGTGTAAGTGTGTGAGTAAGTGTGTAAGTGAGTGAGTGTGTAAGTGAGTGTGTAAGTCTGTAAGTAAGAGTGTAAGTGAGTGTGTAAGTGTGTAAGTGAGTGTGTAAGTGTGTAAGTAAGTGTGTAAGTGTGTGTGAGTGTGTAAGTGTGTAATTGAGTGTGTAAGTAAGTGTGTAAGTGTGTGTTTAAGTGTGTAAGTAAGTGTGTAAGTGTGTGTGTGAATGTGTAAGTGTGTAAGTGAGTGTGTAAGTGTGTAAGTGTGTGTGTGAGTGTGTAAGTGTGTAAGTAAGTGAGTGTGTAAGTGAGTGTGTAAGTGTGTAAGTAAGAGTGTAAGTGAGTGTGTAAGTGTGTAAGTGTGTAAGTGAGTGTGTAAGTGAGTGTGTAAGTGAGTGTGTAAGTAAGAGTGTAAGTGAGTGTGTAAGTGTGTAAGTGAGTGTGTAAGTGTGTAAGTAAGTGTGTAAGTGTGTGTGTAAGCGTGTAAGTGTGTAAGTGAGTGTGTAAGTGTGTAAGTGAGTGTGTAAGTGAGTGTGTAAGTGTTTAAGTGTGTAAGTGTGTGTGTGAGTGTGTAAGTGTGTAAGTGTGTGAGTGTGTAAGTGTGTAAGTAAGTGTGTAAGTGAGTGAGTGTGTAAGTGAGTGTGTAAGTGAGTGTGAAAGTGTGTAAGTGAGTGTGTAAGTGTGTAAGTGTGTGTGTGAGTGTGTAAGTGTGTAAGTGAGTGTGTAAGTGTGTGAGTGTGTAAGTGAGTGTGTAAGTGAGTGTGTAAGTGAGTGTGTAAGTGTGTAAGTGAGTGTGTAAGTGTGTGTGTAAGTGTGTAAGTGAGTGTGTAAGTGTGTAAGTGAGTGTGTAAGTGAGGTGTGTAAGTGAGTGTGTAAGTGAGTGTGTAAGTGTGTGTGTAAGTGTGTAAGTGTGTAAGTGAGTGTGTAAGTGTGTAAGTGAGTGTGTAAGTGTGTAAGTAAGTGTGTAAGTGAGTGTGTAAGTGTGTAAGTGTGTGAGTGTGTAAGTGAGTGTGTAAGTGAGTGTGTAAGTGTGTAAGTGAGTGTGTAAGTGTGTAAGTGAGTGTGTAAGTGTGTAAGTAAGTGTGTAAGTGAGTGTGTAAGTGTGTAAGTGTATAAGTGTATAAGTAAGTGTGTAAGTAAGTGTGTAAGTGAGTGAGTGTGCAAGTGAGTGTGTAAGTGTGTAAGTAATAGTGTAAGTGAGTGTGTAAGTGTAAAAGTGTGTAAGTGTATAAGTAAGTGTGTAAGTAAGTGTGTAAGTGAGTGTGTAAGTGAGTGTGTGTGTAAGTGAGTGTATAAGTGTGTAAGTGTATAAGTGTGTAAGTGTATAAGTAAGTGTGTAAGTAAGTAAGTGTGTAAGTGTGTGAGTAAGTGTGTAAGTGAGTGAGTGTGTAAGTGAGTGTGTAAGTCTGTAAGTAAGAGTGCAAGTGAGTGTGTAAGTGTGTAAGTGAGTGTGTAAGTGTGTAAGTAAGTGTGTAAGTGTGTGTGAGTGTGTAAGTGTGTAATTGAGTGTGTAAGTAAGTGTGTAAGTGTGTGTTTGAGTGTGTAAGTGTGTAAGTAAGTGTGTGTGTGAGTGTGTAAGTGTGTAAGTGTGTAAGTAAGTGTGTGAGTGTGTAAGTGAGTGTGTAAGTGTGTAAGTAAGAGTGTAAGTGAGTGTGTAAGTGTGTAAGTAAGAGTGTAAGTGAGTGTGTAAGTGTGTAAGTAAGAGTGTAAGTGAGTGTGTAAGTGTGTAAGTGTGTAAGTGAGTGTGTAAGTGAGTGTGTAAGTGAGTGTGTAAGTAAGAGTGTAAGTGAGTGTGTAAGTGTGTAAGTGAGTGTGTAAGTGTGTAAGTAAGTGTGTAAGTGTGTGTGTAAGCGTGTAAGTGTGTAAGTGAGTGTGTAAGTGTGTAAGTGAGTGTGTAAGTGAGTGTGTAAGTGTGTAAGTGTGTGTGTGAGTGTGTAAGTGTGTAAGTGTGTGAGTGTGTAAGTGTGTAAGTGTGTAAGTAAGTGTGTAAGTGAGTGAGTGTGTAAGTGAGTGTGTAAGTGTGTAAGTGAGTGTGTAAGTGTGTAAGTGTGTGTGTGAGTGTCTAAGTGTGTAAGTGAGTGTGTAAGTGTGTGAGTGTGTAAGTGTGTAAGTGTGTGTGTGTGTGAGTGTGTAAGTGTGTAAGTGTGTAAGTGTGAGTGTGTAAGTGTGTAAGTGAGTGTGTAAGTGTGTGTGTGTGAGTGTGTAAGTGTGTAAGTGTGAGTGTGTAAGTGTGTAAGTGAGTGTGTAAGTGTGTGTGTGTGTGTAAGTGTGTAAGTGTGAGTGTGTAAGTGTGTAACCTGTGCTGTGAAGTTTGCGGCCTCCATGGGGGGGTCGTTCTTGCTGTCACCTGTCACGTTACCTCGCCTCACGTCTACAGCACACACAGCACACACTTACTTACTTATACACTTACTTATACACTTACTTACACACTTACACACTCACTCACTTACACACTTACTTACACACTTACTTACACACTTACTTACTCACTTACACACTCACTTACACACTCACTTACACACTTACTTACACACTCACTTACTTATACACTTACTTATACACTTACTTACTCACTTACACACTCACTCACTTACACACTTACTCACACACTCACTTACTTACACACTTACTTATACACTTACTTACACACTTACACACTCACTCACTTACACACTTATTACACACTTACTTACACACTCACTTATACACTCACTTACACTCTTACTTACCCACTCACTTACACACTGACTTACACACTCACTCACTTACACACTCACTTACACACTCACTTACACACTCACCACACACACACTTACACACTCACTTACACACTCACTTACACACCTCACTTACACACTCACTTACACACTTACACACTCACTTACACACTTACACACACACTTACACACTCACTCACTTACACACTCACTTACACACTCACTTACACACTCACTCATACACTCACTCACACACTCACTTACACACTCACTTACACACTCACCACACACTCACTTACACACTCACTTACACACTCACTCACTTACACACTCACTGTGTCACACACAGTGATACACACACGGGCAACTCTGTCGTGGACAGTGCTGTGGGGGGAGGTCCAATTTCGATTGGCTCCTCCCCTCATGGCGTCTGTGTCCACCACAGTGTGTATCACTGTGTGTGTATCACTGTGTATGTATCACTGTGTGTATCACTGTGTATGTATCACTGTGTGTATCACTGTGTATGTATCACTGTGTGTATCACTGTGTATGTATCACTGTGTGTGTATATTTCACTGTGTATGTGTGTATGTATCACTGTGTATCACCGTATGTGTATCACTGTGTGTGTATCACTGTGTGTATCACTGTTTGTATCACTGTGTGTGTATCACTGTGTGTATCACTGTATGTATCACTGTGTGTATGTATCACTGTGTGTATCACTGTGTCTATCACTGTGTGTATCACTGTATGTATCACTGTGTGTGTGTGTATCACTGTATGTATCACTGTGTGTATGTATCACTGTATGTGTATCACTGTATGTATCACTGTGTGTGTATCACTGTGTGTGTATGTATCACTGTGCATCACTGTGTGTGTATCACTGTGTGTATGTATCACTGTGTATGTATCACTGTGTGTATCACTGTGTGTGTGTGTATCACTGTGTGTATGTATCACTGTGTATGTATCACTGTGTGTATCACTGTGTGTGTATCACTGTGTGTGTGTGTATCACTGTGTGTGTATCATTGTGTATGTATCACTGTGTGTATGTATCACTGTGTGTATCACTGTGTATCACTGTGTGTGTATCACTGTTTGTATCACTGTGTCTATCACTGTGTGTATCACTGTATGTATCACTGTGTGTGTATCACTGTATGTATCACTGTGTGTATGTATCACTGTATGTGTATCACTGTATGTATCACTGTGTGTGTATCACTGTGTGTGTATGTATCACTGTGCATCACTGTGTGTGTATTACTGTGTGTATGTATCACTGTGTATGTATCACTGTGTGTGTGTATCACTGTGTGTATGTATCACTGTGTATGTATCACTGTGTGTATCACTGTGTGTGTATCACTGTGTGTGTGTATCACTGTGTGTGTGTATCACTGTGTGTGTATCATTGTGTATGTATCACTGTGTGTATGTATCACTGTGTGTGTATCACTGTGTATCACTGTGTGTGTATCACTGTGTGTATCACTGTGTGTATGTATCACTGTGTGTGTATCACTGTGTGTGTATCACTGTATGTATCACTGTGTGAATGTATCACTGTGTGTGTATGTATCACTGTGTGTGTATCACTGTGTGTATCACTGTGTGTATGTATCACTGTGTGTATCACTGTGTGTATGTATCACTGTGTATATGTATCACTGTGTGTATCACTGTGTGTGTGTATCACTGTGTGTATCACTGTGTGTATGTATCACTGTGTGTATCACTGTCTGTGTGTATCACTGTGTGCATCACTGTGTGTGTGTATCACTGTGTGTATCACTGTCTGTGTGTATCACTGTGTGCATCACTGTGTGTGTGTATCACTGTGTATGTATCACTGTGTGTGTATCACTGTATGTATCACTGTGTGTGTGTATCACTGTGTGTGTATCACTGTGTGTGTGTATCACTGTGTGTGTGTATCACTGTGTGTGTGTGTGTCACTGTGTGTGTGTATCACTGTATGTATCACTGTGTGTGTATCACTGTGTGTATGTATCACTGTGTGTGTATCACTGTGTGTGTGTGTATCACTGTATGTATCACTGTGTGTGTGTATCACTGTGTGTGTGTGTGTCACTGCGATAGTGTAGCGGTTAGCGCGCTACGCTATGAACCTGGCGACCCGGGTTCGATTCCCGCTCACGGCCACCACCAGTGACGATTATCTGAACCGGTCCCGGGCCTCCCCTAGGTCGACTCAGCCTCAAATGAGTACCTGGTGCGGTGTGTAAACATTGCCACTAGGGAGACAAAGGCGGTCGGGCGTGGTGCTGGCCACCCACCCCCTCGTGTACCGTTCCGGCCTTCATAGGTGCTCGCTAACAGCACTTGCCCCTACAGTCTGTTAAGGCTATATGGGGGATCTTTGTGTGTGTCACTGTATGTATCACTGTGTGTGTATCACTGTGTATCTATCACTGTGTGTATGTATCACGGTGTGTATGTATCACTGTGTGTATGTATCACTGTGTGTATGTATCACTGTGTGTATGTATCACTGTGTGTACGTATCACTGTGTGTACGTATCACTGTGTGTACGTATCACTCTGTGTATGTATCACTCTGTGTATGTATCACTGTGTGTATGTATCACTGTGTATCACTGTATGTATCACTGTGTGTGTGTATCACTGTGTGTATGTATCTCTGTGTATATCACTGTGTGTATCACTGTGGGGAGCGATAGTGTAGCGGTTAGCGCGCTGCGCTATGAACCTGGCGACCCGGGTTCGATTCCCGCTCACGCCCAACATCAGTGACGATTATCTGAACCTGTCCTGGGCCTCCCCTAGGTCGACTCAGCCTCAAATGAGTACCTAGTGCGGTGGATAAAAACATTGCCACTGGGGAGACAAAGGCGGTCGGGCGTGGTGCTGGCCACCCACCCCCTCGTGTACCGTCCCGGCCTTCATAGGTGCTCGCTAACAGCACTTGCCCCTACAGTCTGTTAAGGCTATACGGGGGATCTTTGTCTTTGTCTTTTTTATCACTGTGTGTGTGTATCACTGTGTGTGTATCACTGTGTGTATCACTGTGTGTGTGTATCACTGTATGTATCACTGTGTGTATGTATCACTGTGTGTATGTATCACTGTGTGTATCACTGTGTGTGTATCACTGTGTGTGTGTGTCACTGTGTGTATCACTGTATGTATCAGTGTGTGTGTATCACTGTGTGTATCACTGTATGTATCACTGTGTGTATCATGTGTGTATGTATCACTGTGTGTATGTATCACTGTGTGTATCACTGTGTGTGTGTATCACTGTGTGTGTGTATCACTGTGTGTGTGTCACTGTGTGTATCACTGTGTGTGTATCACTGTGTGTATGTATCACTGTGTATGTATCACTGTGTGTATCACTGTGTGTGTGTATCACTGTGTGTGTGTATCACTGTGTGTATCACTGTGTATGTGTATCACTGTGTGTGTGTGTATCATGTGTGTATGTATCACTGTGTGTATCACTGTGTGTGTATCACTGTGTGTATCACTGTGTGTATCACTGTGTGTATCACTGTGTATATGTATCACTGTGTGTGTATCACTGTGTGTGTATCACTGTGTATATCACTGTGTATCACTGTGTATGTATCACTGTGTGTGTATGCACCCTTGACGGAGACGTTCTTGACGTTGAATCCGACGTTGTCCCCCGGCAGGGCCTCTGTGAGCGCCTCGTGGTGCATCTCCACAGACTTCACCTCCGTGGTGATGTTCACCGGAGCGAAGGTCACCACCATGCCCGGCTTGAGCACTCCGGTCTCCACGCGGCCCACGGGCACCGTGCCGATGCCTGGACACAACAACAACAACAAACAACAACAATAAACAACAACAAACAACAACCAACAACAACCAGCAACAACAATAAACAACAAACAACAAACAACAACAACCAGCAACAACAACAAACAACAACAATAAACAACAACAAACAACAACCAACAACAACCAGCAACAACAATAAACAACAACAACAATAAACAACAAACAAACAAGAACAATAAACAACAACAACAAACAATAAACAACAACAACAACAAACAATAAACAACAACAACAATAAACAACAACAATAAACAACAAACAAACAAGAACAATAAACAACAACAGACAATAAACAACAACAACAATAAACAACAACAATAAACAACAACAACAATAAACAACAAACAAACAAGAACAATAAACAACAACAACAACAACAAACAATAAACAACAACAACAAACAATAAACAACAACAACAATAAACAACAACAACAATAAACAACAAACAAACAAGAACAATAAACAACAACAACAACAAACAATAAACAACAACAACAAACAATAAACAACAACAACAATAAACAACAACAATAAACAACAAACAAACAAGAACAATAAACAACAACAGACAATAAACAACAACAAACAATAAACAACAACAAACAATAAACAACAACAACAATAAACAACAACAACAATAAACAACAAACAAACAAGAACAATAAACAACAACAACAAACAATAAACAACAACAAACAATAAACAACAACAACAATAAACAACAACAACAATAAACAACAAACAAACAAGAACAATAAACAACAACAACAACAAACAATAAACAACAACAACAACAAACAATAAACAACAACAACAATAAACAACAACAATAAACAACAAACAAACAAGAACAATAAACAACAACAACAAACAATAAACAACAACAAACAATAAACAACAACAACAATAAACAACAAGAACAATAAACAACAACAACAATAAACAACAAACAAACAAGAACAATAAACAACAACAACAAACAATAAACAACAACAACAAACAACAACCAGCAACAACAACAATAAACAACAACAAACAACAATAAACAACAACAATAAACAACAACAAACAAACAACAACAAGCAACAACAATAAACAACAACAAACAATAAACAACAACAACAATAAACAACAACAACAAACAAGAACCAACAACAACAAACAACAACAACAATAAACAACAAACAATAAACAACAACAATAAACAAACAACAACCACGCACTCATCCACTAACTCACCCCACGTCTCTCTCCCCGTGTCTCTCTCCCCGCGTCTCTCTCCCCGTGTCTCTCTCTCCCTGTGTCTCTCTCCCCGCGTCTCTCTCCCCGCGTCTCTCCCCCCGCGTGTCTCTCTCCCCGTGTCTCTCTCCCCGTGTCTCTCTCCCCGTGTCTCTCTCCCCGTGTCTCTCTCCCCGTGTCTCTCTCTCCCTGTGTCTCTCTCCCCGCGTCTCTCTCCCCGCGTCTCTCCCCCCGCGTGTCTCTCTCCCCGTGTCTCTCTCCCCGTGTCTCTCTCCCCGTGTCTCTCTCCCCGTGTCTCTCTCCCCGTTTCTCTCTCCCCGCGTCTCTCTCCCCGTGTCTCTCTCCCCGCGTCTCTCCCTCCCCGTGTCTCTCTCCCCGCGTCTCTCTCCCCGCGTCTCTCTCCCCGTGTCTCTCTCCCCGTGTCTCTCTCCCAAGTGTCAATCTCCCCGTGTCTCTCCGTGTCTCTCACCCCGCGGCTCTCTCCCCGTGTCTCTCTCCCCGTGTCTCTCTCCCCGTGTCTCTCTCCCCGTTTCTCTCTCCCCGTGTCTCCACGTGTCTCCCCGTGTCTCTCCCCCCGTATCTCCCCGTGTCTCCCCGCGTCTCCCTTCCCGTGTCTCCCCGTGTCTCCCTCCCCGTGTATCTCTCCCCGTGTCTCCCCGTGTCTCTCCGTGTCTCTCTCCCCGTGTCTCTCTCCCCGTGTCTCCCCGCGTCTCTCCGTGTCTCTCTCCCCGCGTCTCTCTCCCCGCGTCTCCCCGCGTCTCTCCGTGTCTCTCTCCCCGTGTCTCTCTCCCCGTGTCTCCCCGTGTCTCCCCGTGTCTCTCCGCGTCTCTCTCCCCGTGTCTCCCCGCGTCTCTCTCCCCGTGTCCCTCACCGCCGATCTTGTAGACGTCTTGTAAAGGCAGCCGCAGGGGCTTGTCCGTGGGTCGAGAGGGAGGCAGAATGCTGTCCAGCGCCTCCAGCAGAGTCACTCCCACAGAGTTGCCCTCCTTGCGCTCGACCTTCCAGCCCTTGAACCACGGCATCTGTGGGGTTCAGCGTTTAGTGGGGCAACCCGGAACGGTGGCCAGGGTAGCACACACACACACCACACTCATCATACACACATCATACATCATACACACATCATACACACCACTCACCACACACATCATACACACATCATACACACCACTCACCACACACATCATACACACACATCATACATACACACACCACACACACCACACACTACACATCATACACACATCATACACACATACATACACATCATACACACATCATACATACATCATACACACATCATACATACACACCATACACACCGCACACACACATACACACACCACACACACACCATACACATCATACACACATCATACATACACACCATACACACCACACACACACACATACACACACCACACACACAGCACACCATACACACACATCATACACCACACTCACCACACACACCACACACCATACATCATACACACATCATACACACACATCATACACACACACATCATACACACACATCATACACACACACACATCATACACACATCATACACACACAACACACACACCAAACATACACACACACCACACACACACCACACACACATCACACACACACACCACACACAAACCATACACACACCACACACACACCACACACACCACACACACCACACACCATACATCATACACAACTATACACACATCATACACACACCATACACACCACACACACACATACACACACCACACACACACCACACACACACCATACACATCATACACACATCATACACACACACCATACACATCATACACACACCATACACACATCATACACACACACATCATACACACATCATACACACATCATACACATCATACACACCACACACACATCATACACACACCACACATACACACATCATACACACATCATACACACACCATATACACACCACACACACACACACACACCATACACACATCATACACACACCATACACACACCACACACATCATACACACACATCATACACACATCATACACACACCACACACACACACCATAAACACCACACACACCACAAACACACCATTCACACCACACACACACACCACACACACACACATCACACACCATTCACACCACACACACACACACCACACACACCACACACACACCACACACCACACACACCACACACACACACCACACACCATTCACACCACACACACACACCACACACCATTCACACCACACACACATCATACACACACCATACACACCACACACACCATTCACACCACACACACACACGACACACACCATAAACACCACACACACACTACACACACCACAAACACCACACACACCACACACACCATAAACACCACACACACCATTCACGTGCTGTAGCCACCCGGCGCTCCGCTCGTTGTTGTGAGCGTCGCTCCTCCGCCCTCCGTTGTTGTTGGAGGGCGACTACCTCCAACTGCCCAGTAGCGTCCTTCACGAGCCTCCTCCACAGAGGCGAATCTTGACACCACTGGTACCAGTCATCGGCAAGTCCACTCAGCTCCACGTCCTCCTGTACCACATCACTCCATCTCTTCTCTAGCCGGTGCCGCGCCAGTTTAGCCCACTCGATCCGGCCGAACAAAATCTGTTTAGGCATGCAGTGGCTGGGCATGCGGGCTACATGACCCAGCCAACGCAGTCTTGCCTGCCGGAGGAGCTCACCGATGGGACTTTGCCCAGATCTTTCAAGGATTTGTGAGCTCCTCACACAATCCAGCCTGGTTAAACCCAGAATTGATCGTAGGCAGGCCAGCCTAAATGTTTCTAACTGGCGAAAATGTTCCATTTGGGGGGTCCACGTTTCGCAAGCAAAGAGAAGGGAGGGAATGACCGTGGCCGAGAAGACCTGAAGCTTAGTGCGGAGCGACAGACCAGGTAGCTTCCACACAGCGTTACGCAACCGATGAAAAGAAATTGCCGCTCGACTAATTCGGAGTGAGATCTCTGCTGTCAAACCGGAGCCGGTCATGAGCACACTGCCCAGGTATGGGAAACTCTCCACTCTCCCCACAACTGCCCCATCACCGATTGGGAGTTGTGGGAATGGAGTGCCCGATGGTACAAAATGCCCAGGAAGGTGCTTAGTTTTGGTGGGGCTGATGGTAAGGCCCCATCTATTAGTGGCACGCTCCAGTCTCAGCAGCAGCGTCTCCAACTCCTGCTCTGAATGAGCAGCTATTACCAAATCATCGGCATACATAACGTGGTTGACCAATAGGGAGCATCCCTTGACCGCACCCGGGCATCGATCAGCCTCCCATTGTATCTGTACCAAATGGAGATTCCACCGGTACAGCTATTGAAGGCTTCACGAACTACGTGGTCAAAATAGATGTTAAATAATGTGGGAGCCAGAGGACATCCCTGTCGCACGCCAAGGTGAACAGGGAATGGCTCGGACTCCCGGCCACGTAGTTTTACCTGGGCCCGCTCACCATCATGAAGGTCCTTAATGATCGTGAGCAGAGGGTCAGGTACTCCAAAAGCATGAAGAACAACCCAGAGCCCAGGCCTAGTGATGGTATCATAGGCCTTGACCAGGTCAATAAAGCAGAGATGTAGGTCTTGTTGGAATTCCCTACACCTCTGCTGTAGCAGACGGACAGAAAATATGGCATCCGTTCAGGATCGCCCTTTCCTGAAACCACATTGGGGCTCTGGAAGCCTCTCCTCAGCGTGCCGAGCAAGGCGATATTGAATAATCCTTGCCAGGACCTTTACCGGCACACTGAGGAGTGAGATGTCCCTGTAGTTGTTACAGTCTGTGCGGTCCCCCTTCTTAAAGAGGGGGACCACCAGGGCATCCTTACAATCCTGCGGAACCCGTCCAGTGGTCCAGACTGTGTTATGATGTCATGTAGGGCAGTCTGTGCACAAACGCCACCCTCCCTCAGCATTTCGCTTGGGAGACCATCTCTGCCCAGTGCCTTTCCTGGTCTCAGACTCTGGATCGCCTTTAGTACTTCCTCAACAGATGGTACCTCAGCCAGCCACTCACAGGGGATGACTTCTACCTCCAATATTTGAGGCATCGCAGCCTCAGCAGGGTCATTCCCACTTTGCCCCACGATGTTTTCCAATTCGAGGGATTTACCCTCCCCCAGGACTTCACAGAAATGCTCAGCAAATCTGCAAACCTGTTCCTGGCAGTCGGAGATTGGATCACCGTTTTTTCCCCTAATGATGGTAATAGGTGTGGCGCTGCAGGTTACTTTTTTGATGGAGTTAAATAGCGATTTGTGATCACGGGCCACTGAGGCCGACTCCATCTCCTCAGCAACCCGCGACCACCACCCATCCTTGCAGTGCCTCACGGATCTCCGAACCTACAAGTGAAGGCTGCGGTAAGCCTCCTCATTCTCTGACGTCGGATGCTGTAGCCGATTAGAGTGGGCCTGTCGCTTTTGCTCAGCCATCCTGAACACTTCCTCTGTCAGCCAGGGTCTCTGGGGAGGTCTGGACCACGTACACAAAGCAGCCATTGCAGCTGCCTGAGTCACAGTCCTAAACCTCGCCCATTTACCCTCGACATCAGGAGGAGTGGGGGACGATGCCAACCCCAGCCACAAGCGATGATGAAATTCTCGCTTGCAACTTTCATCAGATAAGTGAGACCAGATCACCTTAGGTTTGAATGGGGTCCTGGGTGTACACCCACCACCGGAGTGGAAGAATGGCAGGCGCATCTTACAGATGACAAGTCGATGGTCAGAGGGCAGATCAGCTCCATGGTAGGTCCTGTTGACAAGGACATGGGCCTGCATCCGCTGTTGCGTCACTATGTAGTCCAGCAGCTGTTCTTGCTTGGACCCGGCATGCATCCATGATGTTGTGTAGATGTGCCGATGCCGAAACAGTGTATCGTTAATTACAAGCCCATGGGCTGCACAAAAATCTAGCAGCCTCCTACCATTGTTAGTGAGCTGATCTGGCCCATGCCTTCCAATCAATCCAGACCAGGTGCCAGTATCATGACCAACTCGTGCATTGAAGTCACCCAGATGACTCTATCCTAAGGGGCCACTTTAGCCAGCATCTGTGACAGGAGGTCATAGAAGGCATCTGACTCATCGGCCTTGCATGCATCCCTCCACGGATGTTCGTCTTCGGTGGGGGCATAAGTAACCACGACCACCATTCCTCGCCTCCGGTTGATGGGAAGGCGAGCCCAAAGTAGCCTGGGGCTTACAGCTTCCCACACCTCACCGCCACGCTCCCACGCCCCCTTCATTCTTTTGTTCAGAAGAAGACCCACACCCTGTTGTTTGGCAGTCTGCTGCCCCGAGTAGAGGACTGTCCACCCCTCATGGTGGCAGGAGCCAGAACCGGTCCACCAGACCCCCTGAATGCCGCATAGATCCAGGCGGTACCGGTCCAGCTCCCGACAGAGGAGTGGCAGCCTCTCCTCTGCAGTGAGCGTTCGAACATTCCACGTGGCCACACGAAGTGGCTTTTTTGTTGTTTTTGGAGGAGCCCCGAGGGTAAAGATTCAATCTCCTGTCTCCGCTACACACATCGACACACGCACACACACATGTACACACACACACACATGTACACACACACTGACACACACGTACACACACACACGTACACACGTACACACTGACACACTCACGTTGGGGCTGGCCTCCAGCATGTTGTCGCCGTGCCAGCCCGACACGGGCACGAAGGCCACGGAGCCGGTGTTGTATCCGATCTTCTTGATGTAGGCGCTCACTTCCTTGACGATCTCGTCGAAGCGCCGGTCGCTGTACGGGGGCTCCGTCGAGTCCATCTTGTTGACCCCCACGACCATCTGCTTCACCCCCAGCGTGTAGGCGAGCAGGGCGTGCTCGCGCGTCTGGCCGCTCTTCGAGATGCCCGCCTCGAACTCGCCCACGCCGGCAGCCACAATGAGCACGGCGCAGTCCGCCTGGGCCGGGGATGGGGATGGGGAGAGGAGGAGGAGGAGGAAGGGGGGTCGACCGTAGTGCCGTAGCAGCATAGCAGCATACCATAGCAGCATACCATAGCAGCATACCATAGCACCATAGCATAGCAGCATACCATAGCAGCATACCATAGCAGCATACCATAGCAGCATACCATAGCAGCATACCATAGCAGCATACCATAGCACCATAACACTACACCATAGCACTACAATGTAGCACCATACCATAGCACCATAGCACTACAATGTAGCACCATACCATAGCACCATAGCACTACGACGTAGCACCATACCATAGTACCATAGCACTACACCATAGCACTACACCATAGCACCACACCATACCATAGCACCATAGCACTACACCATAGCACTACACCATAGCACCATACCATGGCACCATACCATAGCAGCATAGCATCATACCACACCACAGCACTACACCACAGTACTACAATGTAGCACTACACTATAGCACTACACCATAGCACCATACCATAGCAGCATACCATAGCACCATACCATAGCACCATACCATAGCACCATAGCACTACACTGTACCAGCATAGCACCATAGCACTACAATGTAGCACCATACCATAGCACTACACCATAGCACTACACCATAGCACTACACCATAGCACTACACCATAGCACTACACCATAGCACTACACCATAACACTACACCATAGCACTACACCATAGCACTACACCATAGCACTACACCATAGCACTACACCATAGCACTACAATGTAGCACCACCCCATAGCACTACACCATAGCACTACACCATACCACTACACCATAGCACTACAATGTAGCACTACACCATAACACTACACCATAGCACTACACCATAGCACTACACCATAGCACCACACCATAGCACTACACCATAGCATTACACAATAGCACTACACCATAGCACTACACCATAGCACTACACCATAGCACTACACCATAGCACCACACCATAGCACCACAACCTTAGCACTACACCATAGCACCACACCATAGCACTACACCATAGCACTAAACCATAGCACTACACCATAGCACTACACCATAGCACCACACCACAGCACTACAATGTAGCACCATACTATAGCACTACACCATAGCACTACACCATAGCACCACACCATAGCACCACACCGTAGCACTATACCGTAGCACTACACCATAGCACTACACCATAGCACTACACCATAGCACTACACCATAGAACTAAAATGTAGCACCATACCATAGCACTACACCATAGCACTACATGATAGCACTACACCATAGCACTACACCATAGCACCACACCATAGCACCACACCATAGCACTAGACCGTAGCACTACACCATAGCACTACACCATAGCACTACACCATAGCAATACACCATAGCACCACACCATAGCACCACACCATAGCACTACACCATAGCACTACACCATAGCACTACACCATAACACTACACCATAACACTACACCATAGCACTACACCATAGCACTACACCATAGCACTACACCATAGCACTACACCATAGCACTACACCATAACACTACACCATAGCACTACACCATAGCACTACACCATAGCACTACACCATAGCACTACACCATAACACTACACCATAGCACTACACCATAGCACCACACCATAGCACTACACCATAGCACTACACCATAGCACCACACCATAGCACTACACCATAGCACTACACCATAGCACCACACCATAGCACTACACCATAGCACTACAGTGACTACACCATAGCACTACACCATAGCACTACACCATAGCACTACAATGTAGCACTACACCATAGCACTACACCATAGCACTACACCATAGCACTACAATGTAGCACCACCCCATAGCACTACACCATAGCACCACAACATAGCACTACACCATAGCACTACAATGTAGCACCACCCCATAGCACTACACCACAGCACTACACCATAGCACTACACCATAGCACTACACCATAGCACTACAATGTAGCACCACCCCATAGCACTACACCATAGCACCACACCATAGCACTACACCATAGCACTACAATGTAGCAGCACACCATAGCACTACACCATAGCACCACACCATAGCACTACACCATAGCACTACACCATAGCAGCACACCATAGCACTACACCATAGCACCACACCATAGCACTACACCATAACACTACACCATAGCACTACACCATAACACTACACCATAGCACTACACCATAGCACTACAATGTAGCAGCATAGCACTACACTGTATCACAATGCACTGTAACACCACACTGAATCACAATGTACTGTATCACCACACTGTATAACAATACACTGTATCACCACACTCTATCACAATACACTGTATCACCACACTGTATAACAATGCACTGTAACACCACACTGTATAACAATGCACTGTAACACCACACTGTACCACAATGTACTGTATCACCACACTGTATAACAATACACTGTATCACCACACTCTATCACAATACACTGTATCACAACACTGTATCACAATGCACTGTAGCACCACACTGTATCACAATGCACTGTAGCACCACACTGTATCACAATACACTGCATCACCACACTGTACCACAATACACTGCAGCACCACACTGCATAACAATGCACTGCAACACCACACTGTACCACAATGTACTGTATCACCACACTGTATAACAATGCACTGTAACACCACACTGTATCACAATGCACTGTAGCAACACACTGCATCACAATGCACTGCAGCACCACACTGTACCACAATGCACTGCAGCACCACACTGTATAACAATACACTGTATCACCACACTGTATCACAATACACTGTATCACCACACTGTAAAACAATGCACTGTAGCACCACACTGTATCACAATGCACTGTAGCACCACACTGTATCACAATACACTGCATCACCACACTGTACCACAATACACTGCAGCACCACACTGCATAACAATGCACTGCAACACCACACTGTACCACAATGTACTGTATCACCACACTGTATAACAATGCACTGTAACACCACACTGTATCACAATGCACTGTAGCAACACACTGCATCACAATGCACTGCAGCACCACACTGTGACAATACACTGTATCACCGCACTGTATCACAATACACTGTAGCACCACACTGTATCACAATACACTGTAGCACCACACTGTATCACAATGCAATGATGGTGATGATGGTGGTGATGGTGGTGATGATGATGGTGGTGATGGTGATGATAGTGATGGTGGTGGTGATGATGATGGTGATGATGATGGTGGTGATTGTGGTGATGATGGTGATGGTGGTGATGGTGATGATAGTGATAGTGGTGGTGATGATGATGGTGGTGATGATGATGGTGGTGATGGTGGTGATGATGGTGGTGATGGTGGTGATGATGATGGTGGTGATGGTGATGATAGTGATGGTGGTGGTGATGATGATGGTGGTGATGATGATGATGGTGGTGATTGTGGTGATGATGGTGATGGTGGTGATGATGGTGATGGTGGTGATGATGGTGATGGTGGTGACGATGGTGATGATGGTGATGATAGTGATGATGGTGGTGATGGTGATGATAGTGATGATGGTGATGATGGTGATGATAGTGATGATGGTGATGAGATGATTGTGATGGTGATGAAGGTGATGGTGGTGATGATGGAGATGATGATGGTGGTGATGGAGATGATGATGGTGATGATGATGGTGGTGATGATGGAGATGATGATGGTGATGATGGTGACGGTGTCTCACCTGTGAGGTGCCGGTGATCATGTTCTTGATGAAGTCGCAATGTCCTGGTGCATCGATGATGGTGATGATGATGATGGTGGTGATGGTGGTGATGGTGGTGATGATGGTGATGATGATGGTGGTGATGGTGGTGATGGTGATGATGGTGATGGTGATGATGATGGTGGTGTCTCACCTGCGAGGTGCCGGTGATCATGTTCTTGATGAAGTCGCGATGTCCTGGTGCATCGATGATGGTGATGATGATGATGGTGGTGATGGTGGTGATGATGGTGATGATGATGGTGGTGATGGTGGTGATGGTGATGATGGTGATGGTGATGATGGTGGTGTCTCACCTGCGAGGTGCCGGTGATCATGTTCTTGATGAAGTCGCGATGTCCTGGTGCATCGATGATGGTGATGATGATGGTGGTGATGGTGGTGATGGTGGTGATGATGGTGATGATGGTGGTGATGATGGTGATGATGGTGGTGGTGATGGTGGTGGTGATGGAGATGGTGATGATAGTGATGGTGGTGGTGATGATGATGGTGGTGATGATGATGATGGTGGTGATTGTGGTGATGATGGTGATGGTGGTGATGATGGTGATGGTGGTGATGATGGTGATGGTGGTGATGATGGTGATGGTGGTGACGATGGTGATGATGGTGATGATAGTGATGATGGTGATGATGGTGATGATAGTGATGATGGTGGTGATGGTGATGATAGTGATGATGGTGATGATGGTGATGATAGTGATGATGGTGATGAGATGATTGTGATGGTGATGAAGGTGATGGTGGTGATGATGGAGATGATGATGGTGGTGATGGAGATGATGATGGTGATGATGATGGTGGTGATGATGGAGATGATGATGGTGATGATGGTGACGGTGTCTCACCTGCGAGGTGCCGGTGATCATGTTCTTGATGAAGTCGCGATGTCCTGGTGCATCGATGATGGTGATGATGATGATGGTGGTGATGGTGGTGATGGTGGTGATGATGGTGATGATGATGGTGGTGATGGTGGTGATGGTGATGATGGTGATGGTGATGATGATGGTGGTGTCTCACCTGCGAGGTGCCGGTGATCATGTTCTTGATGAAGTCGCGATGTCCTGGTGCATCGATGATGGTGATGATGATGATGGTGGTGATGGTGGTGATGGTGGTGATGATGGTGATGATGATGGTGGTGATGGTGGTGATGGTGATGATGGTGATGGTGATGATGATGGTGGTGTCTCACCTGCGAGGTGCCGGTGATCATGTTCTTGATGAAGTCGCGATGTCCTGGTGCATCGATGATGGTGATGATGATGATGGTGGTGATGGTGGTGATGATGGTGATGATGATGGTGGTGATGGTGGTGATGGTGATGATGGTGATGGTGATGATGATGGTGGTGTCTCACCTGCGAGGTGCCGGTGATCATGTTCTTGATGAAGTCGCGATGTCCTGGTGCATCGATGATGGTGATGATGATGATGGTGGTGATGGTGGTGATGATGGTGATGATGATGGTGGTGATGGTGGTGATGGTGATGATGGTGATGGTGATGATGATGGTGGTGTCTCACCTGCGAGGTGCCGGTGATCATGTTCTTGATGAAGTCGCGATGTCCTGGTGCATCGATGATGGTGATGATGATGATGGTGGTGATGGTGGTGATGGTGGTGATGATGGTGATGATGATGGTGGTGATGGTGGTGATGGTGATGATGGTGATGGTGATGATGATGGAGATGATGATGGTGATGATGGTGACGGTGTCTCACCTGCGAGGTGCCGGTGATCATGTTTTTAATGAAGTCGCGATGTCCTGGTGCATCGATGATGGTGATGTAGAACTTCTGCGTCTCGAACTTCCACAGCGAGATGTCGATGGTGATGCCTCGCTCACGCTCCGCCTTCAGCTTGTCCAGCACCCACGCGTACTTGAACGAGCCCTTGCCCATCTGCCGTGGTGGTGATAGTGGTGGTGGTGGTGGTGGTCGTGGTGGTGGTTGTAGTGGTGGTGGTCACGGTGGTGGTGGTGGCGGTGGTGGTGGTGGCCATGGAGGTGTTGGTAGTCGTGGTGGTGGTGGTGACGGTGGTGGTGGTATTGGTGGTGGTGGTCGTGGTGGTGGTGGTGGTGATGGTGGTGGTGGTGGTGGTGGTAGTGGTGGTGGTGATGGTGGTGGTCGTGGTGGTGGTAGTGGTGGTGATGGTGGTGGTGGTCGTGGTGGTGGTAGTGGTTGTGGTGGTGGTGGTGATGGTGGTGGTGGTGGTTGTGGTGGTGGTGATGGTGGTAGTGGTCGTGGTGGTGGTGGTCGTGGTGATGGTCGTGGTGGTGACGGTGGTTGAGGTGGTGTTGATAGTGGTGGTGGTGGTGGCGGTGGTGGTGGTGACGGTGGTGGTGGTGGCCATGGAGGTGTTGGTAGTCGTAGTGGTGGTGGTGGTGACGTTGGTGGTCGTGGTGGTGGTGGTGATGGTGGTGGTGGTCGTGGTGGTGGTCGTGGTGATGGTAGTGGTGGTGGTGGTTGAGGTGGTGACGGTGGTGGTGGTGACGGTGGTGGTGGTGGTCGTGTTGGTGGTGTTTGTAGTGGTGGTGGTAGTAACAGTAGTGGTGGTAGCAATGGTGGTGTTGTTGATAGCAGTGGTGGTAGTAGTGGTTGGTGGTGGTGGTGATGGTTGCAATGGTGGTGGTGGTAGTGAGGGTAGCGGGGAGCGGTGGTGCAGCAGTTAGCACGCTGCACTCCGAGCCCGATTCCCGTTCACGGCTCGCTAACAGCACTTGCTCCAACAGTCTGCGTAGGCTACACGGGGGATCTTTGTCTTTGGTAGCGATGGTGGTGGTACCATCGGTATCACCAGAACTAGCATGAGCAGCAGCAACACCACCACCACCATCAACACCACCATCAACACCACCTCCACCACCACCACCTCCACCACCTCCATCACCTCCACCACCACCACCAGCACCATCAACACCACCTCCACCACCACCACCACCACCTCCATCACCTCCACCACCACCTCCACCACCACCACCACCACCACCACCACCACCACCACCTCCACCATCACCATCAACACCACCTCCACCACCACCACCTCCATCACCTCCACCACCACCTCCACCACCACCACCCCCACCACCACCACCACCACCATCACCACCATCACCTCCACCACCTCCATCACCTCCATCACCACCACCACAACCACCACCACCATCAACACCACCTCCACCACCTCCATCACCACCACCACCACCACCACCTCCACCACCACCACCACCATCACCTCCACCAACACAACCACCACCACCTCTACAACCACCACCACCTCCACCACAACCACCACCATCAACACCACCACCATCAACACCACCATCAACACCACCTCCACCACCACCATCAACACCACCTCCACCACCACCTCCATCACCACCACCTCCACCACCACCATCAACACCACCTCCACCACCACCACCTCCACCACCACCATCACCACCACCACCATCACCTCCACCACCACCACCTCCATCACCTCCATCACCACCACCACCACAACCACCACCATCAACATCACCTCCACCACCTCCATCACCACCACCTCCACCACCACCACCATCACCTCCACCACCTCCACTTCCACCACCTCCACCACCACCACAACCACCACCACCTCCACAACCACCACCACCTCCACCACAACCACCACCATCAACACCACCATCACCACAACCACCACCACAACCACCACTACCTCCATCACCACCACCTCCACCATCACCACCACCACTATCACCACCACTACCACCTCCACCTCCACCACCACAACCTCCATCACCTCCATCACCACCACCACCACCACAACCACCACCATCAACACCACCTCCACCACCTCCATCACCACCACCTCCACCACCACCACCACCATCACCTCCACCACCTCCACCACCACCACAACCACCACCACAACCACCACCACCTCCACAACCACCACCATCAACACCACCACCACCATCACCACAACCACCACCACAACCACCACTACCTCCATCACCACCACCTCCACCATCACCACCACCACCACCATCACCACCACTACCACCACCACCATAACCACCACCACAACAACCACCACAACCACCACCACAACCACCACCACCCTCACCTCTGCCGCCTCCTTCTCGAACTTCTCGATAGTCCTCTTGTCGATGCCGCCGCACTTGTAGATGAGGTGCCCCGTGGTGGTCGACTTCCCCGAGTCCACGTGGCCGATGACCACGATGTTGATGTGGATCTTCTCCTTCCCCATGGTGCTCGCCTTGCCTTGGTGCACGCCAATCGATCTCCGCTCGCCCAGCCCCTCTGGGCTCGCACGCACAGAGCCGAGGGGTTGACGGATCACGAACACGCATCGCCCCCGCGGTGGTTGTGGTGTGGTGGTAGTGGTTGTGATGGTGGTGGTGATGGTGTTGGGTGAACACAGTATGGTGGTGGTTGTGGTGTTTGTGGTGGTGTTTGTGATGGTGGTGGTGATGATGGGTGAACACAGTATGGTGGTGGTTGTGGTGGTTGTGGTGATGGTGGTGGTGATGGTGGGTGAACACAGTATGGTGGTGGTTATAGTGGTTGTTGTGGTGGTTGTGGTTGTTATGATGGTGATGGTGGTGATTGTTGTGATAGTGGTGGTGATGGTGGTGGTTGTGGTGGTGGTTGTGGTGGTGGTGGTGATGGGGGTGGTGATGGTGGTGGTGATGGTGGGTGAGCACAGTATGGTCGTGGTTTTGGTGTTTGTGGTGGTGATTGTGATGGTGGTGGTGATGGTGATGGTGGGTGAGCACAGTATGGCGGTGGTTATAGTGGTTGTTGTGGTGGTTGTGGTTGTTATGATGGTGATGGTGGTGATTGTTGTGATAGTGGTGGTGATGGTGGTGGTTGTGGTGGTGGTGATGGGGGTGGTGATGGTGGGTGAACACAGTATGGTGGTGGTTGTGGTGGGATGGTGGTGGTGGTTGTAGTGGTGGTTGCGATGGTGGTGGGTGAACACAGTATGGTGGTGGTTGTGGTGTTTGTGGTGGTGGTTGTGATGGTGGTTGTGGCTATTGTGCTGGTGGTTATAGTGGTTGTTGTGGTGGTTGTGGAGGTTGTGGTGGTTGTCGTTGTTATTATGGTGATGGTTGTGGTTGTTGTGATAGTGGTTGTTGTGGTTGTTGTGGTTGTTATGATGGTGATGGTGGTGGTTGTGGTTGTTGTGCTTGTTGTGATGGTGGTTGTGGTTATTGTGATGGTGGTGGTTATAGTGGTTGTTGTGATAGTGGTTGTTGTGGTTGTTGTGGTGGTTGTGGTTGTTATGATGGTGGTGATGTTGGTTGTGGTGGTGGAGGTTGTGGTGATGGTGGTGGTTGTGGTTGTTGTGATGGTGGGGGTTATATTGGTTGTTGTGGTGGTTGTGGTTGTTATGATGGTGGCGATGGTGGTTGTGGAGGTTGTGGTGGTGGAGGTTGTGGTGATGATGGTGATGGTGGTGATTGTTGTGGTGGTGGTGGTGATGTTGGTGGTTGTGGTGGTGGTTGTGATGGTGGTGGTTGTGGTTGTTGTGATGGTTGAGACAGTAACAGAGGCAGTTTCTGGTCGCGTCATGGTGGAACCAGCGGGTCACTGGGCGCGTGTTGCTCGGGAAGAGAGAAGAGAGATGAGATGTTGACTACCTCGCCAGATACACACGAGGTCGTGGGTCTCCACCCCTCACCCTGACGATGACTGAGTGAGTGGGTGAGATGTTGACTACCTCGCTAGGTACACACGAGGTCGTGGGTCTCCACCCCTCACCCTAAACGATGTCTGAGTGAGTGGGTGAGATGTTGACTACCTCGCCAGGTACACAGGAGGTCGTGGGTCTCCACCCCTCACCCTGACGATGACTGAGTGAGTGGGTGAGATGTTGACCCTGACGATGACTGAGTGAGTGGGTGAGATGTTGACTACCTCGCCAGGTACGCAGGACGTCGTGGGTCTCCACCCCTCACCCTGACGATGACTGAGTGAGTGGGTGAGATGTTGACTACCTCGCCTGGTACACAAGAGGTCGTGGGTCTCCACCCCTCAACCTGACGATGACTGAGTGAGTGGGTGAGATGTTGACTACCTCGCCAGGTACACAGGAGGTCGTGGGTCTCCACCCCTCACCCTGACGATGACTGAGTGAGTGGGTGAGATGTTTACTACCTCGCCTGGTACACAGGAGGTCGTGGGGGAGATGTTGACTACCTCGCCAGGTACACACGAGGTCGTGGGTCTCCACCCCTCACCCTGACGATGTCTGAGTGAGTGGGTGAGATGTTGACTACCTCGCCTGGTACACAGGAGGTCGTGGGTCTCCACCCCTCACCCTGACGATGACTGAGTGAGTGGTGAGATGTTGACTACCTCGCCCGGTGTCCGGTGTGCAGGAGTTCGTGGGTTCGATCCTGACCCCTGGCGATGTCTGAGTGAGTGGGTGAGATGTTGACTACCTCGCCAGGTACGCAGGACGTCGTGGGTCTCCACCCCTCACCCTGACGATGACTGAGTGAGTGGGTGAGATGTTGACTACCTCGCCTGGTACACAAGAGGTCGTGGGTCTCCACCCCTCAACCTGACGATGACTGAGTGAGTGGGTGAGATGTTGACTACCTCGCCAGGTACACAGGAGGTCGTGGGTCTCCACCCCTCACCCTGACGATGACTGAGTGAGTGGGTGAGATGTTTACTACCTCGCCTGGTACACAGGAGGTCGTGGGGGAGATGTTGACTACCTCGCCAGGTACACACGAGGTCGTGGGTCTCCACCCCTCACCCTGACGATGTCTGAGTGAGTGGGTGAGATGTTGACTACCTCGCCTGGTACACAGGAGGTCGTGGGTCTCCACCCCTCACCCTGACGATGACTGAGTGAGTGGTGAGATGTTGACTACCTCGCCCGGTGTCCGGTGTGCAGGAGTTCGTGGGTTCGATCCTGACCCCTGGCGATGTCTGAGTGAGTGGGTGAGATGTTGACTACCTCGCCTGGTCCATACGAGGTCGTGGGTTCGATTCCGGACCCTGGCGATGTCTGAGTGAGTGGGTGAGATGTTGACTACCTCGCCTGGTGCACACGAGGTCGTGGGTTCGATTTGTCTCCCTCCACATTTAGAATAAACATCACACGTGTAGATGATTTGGATGCTGCTATAAATTGCCACGCGACTTTGCACAGCTTACCGGTGTTTGCGTATTCTGTTTGTGTTTGTTGTTGTTGTTGTAGCGGTCTGACCCCTTGCCCCCTACTGGAACATCTCGCGAAAAAAGAGCTTTATAGCTTTTCGGATTCATCCTCCTGATGCTGATTCACTTTGGTTGAGCAGCTATCATTTGATAAAGACTCCAACGTTAAAGTCTCCCATAGACTCCAACGTCAAATTCTCCCATAGACTCCAATGTTAAAGTCTCCCATAGACTCCAATGTTAAAGTCTCCCATAGACGCCAATGTCAAAGTCTCCCATAGACTCCAATGTTAAAGTCTCCCATAGACTCCAATGCTAAAGTCTCCCATAGACTCCAATGTTAAAGTCTCCCATAGACTCCAATGTTAAAGTCTCCCATAGACGCCAATGTTAAAGTCTCCCATAGACGCCAATGTCAAAGTCTCCCATAGACTCCAATGTTAAAGTCTCCCATAGACTCCAGTGTTAAAGTCTCCCATGAACTCCAATGTCAAAGTCTCCAATAGACTCCAACGTTAAAGACTCCCATAGACTCCAATGTCAAAGTCTCCCATAGACCCCAATGTTAAAGTCTCCCATAGACTCCAATGTTAAAGTCTCCCATAGACTCCAATGTTAAAGTCTCCCACAGACTCCAATGTTAAAGTCTCCCATAGACTCCAATGTTAGAGTCTCCCATAGACTCCAATGTTAAAGTCTCCCATAGACTCCAATGTTAAAGTCTCTACCCATAGACTCCAATGTTAAAGTATCCCATAGACTCCAATGTTAAAGTCTCCCATAGACTCCAATGTTAGAGTCTCCCATAGACTCCAATGTTAAAGTCTCCCATAGACTCCAATGTTAAAGTCTCCCATAAACTCCAATGTCAAAGTCTCCAATAGACTCCAACGTTAAAGACTCCCATAGACTCCAATGTCAAAGTCTCCCATAGACTCCAATGTTAAAGTCTCCCATAGACTCCAATGTTAAAGTCTCCCATAAACTCCAATGTCAAAGTCTCCAATAGACTCCAACGTTAAAGACTCCCATAGACTCCAATGTCAAAGTCTCCCATAGACCCCAATGTTAAAGTCTCCCATAGACTACAATGTTAAAGTCTCCCATAGACTCCAATGTTAAAGTCTCCCATAGACTCCAATGTCAAAGTCTCCCATAGACCCCAATGTTAAAGTCTCCCATAGACTCCAATGTTAAAGTCTCCCATAGACTCCAATGTTAAAGTCTCCCATAGACTCCAATGTTAAAGTCTCCCATAGACTCCAATGTTAAAGTCTCCCATAGACTCCAATGTTAAAGTCTCCCATAGACTCCAATGTTAAAGTCTCTACCCATAGACTCCAATGTTAAAGTATCCCATAGACTCCAATGTTAAAGTCTCCCATAGACTCCAATGTTAGAGTCTCCCATAGACTCCAACATTAAAATCCTCCCATAGACTCCAATGTTAAAGTCTCCCATAAACTCCAATGTCAAAGTCTCCAATAGACTCCAACGTTAAAGACTCCCATAGACTCCAATGTCAAAGTCTCCCATAGACCCCAATGTTAAAGTCTCCCATAGACTACAATGTTAAAGTCTCCCATAGACTCCAATGTTAAAGTCTCCCATAGACTCCAATGTCAAAGTCTCCCATAGACCCCAATGTTAAAGTCTCCCATAGACTCCAATGTTAAAGTCTCCCATAGACTCCAATGTTAAAGTCTCCCATAGACTCCAATGTTAAAGTCTCCCATAGACTCCAATGTTAAAGTCTCCCATAGACTCCAATGTTAAAGTCTCCCATAGACTCCAATGTTAAAGTCTCTACCCATAGACTCCAATGTTAAAGTATCCCATAGACTCCAATGTTAAAGTCTCCCATAGACTCCAATGTTAGAGTCTCCCATAGACTCCAATGTTAAAGTCTCCCATAGACTCCAATGTTAAAGTCTCCCATAAACTCCAATGTCAAAGTCTCCAATAGACTCCAACGTTAAAGACTCCCATAGACTTCAATGTCAAAGTCTCCCATAGACTCCAATGTTAAAGTCTCCCATAGACTCCAATGTTAAAGTCTCCCATAAACTCCAATGTCAAAGTCTCCAATAGACTCCAACGTTAAAGACTCCCATAGACTCCAA